CTTGGATCAAAGAAGGGGATGCAAACACTGCCTATTTCCATAAATTTGTAAACAGCAGGAGAAAAAAGAATATGCTTCATGGGGTTAACAATCAAGGCTCTTGGATTGATGATCCTATTCAGGTGAAACAGATTGTTTACGATCACTTTAAAAGCCAATACTCATCACAGTCTACTCAACAAGTACAACCATCTTTTGACCATTTGCAGTTTTGTCGATTATCAGAAGAGGATAGAATATTGCTGGAAGTTGAGTTTACAGATGATGAAATTAGAGAAGCAGTCTCCTCATGTGCAAGTGACAAAGCCCCAGGACCCGATGGATTTAACTTTCACTTCATCAAGTCGGCATGGGGTACAGTAGGGGCTGATATAATCAACTTCATCAAAGAATTCCACCAGAATGCAAGATTGGTCAAGGGAATTAATTCCTCATATATCACACTTGTGCCTAAGAAGAAAAACCCCACTTCCTTGAAGTAGTTCAGGCCAATATGTACCATTGGGTCTATGTATAAAATCTTGGCTAAGGTGCTTGCTAACAGACTTAAGAAGGTAATTGTTAAGATTATTAGTGCTAGTCAATCTGCTTTTATTAAGGGTAGACAACTTGTTGATTGCTCTTTTGCTCTTAATGAGATTATACATGACTTGAAAATTAAAAGGAGGAAGGGCATTATATTCAAGGCTGATTTTGAAAAAGCATTTGATTCTGTGGATTGGGGATATCTTGATAAAATGCTTTCCTTTTTGGGTTTTGGTGAGAAATGGCGAAGCTGGATTAACGAGTGCTTAAGGTCTGCTTCCATCTCAATTCTTGTCAACGATAGCCCAACCGAGGAATTCAATATGCAGAGAGGTTTGAGACAGGGAGATCCCCTTTCTCCCTATTTATTCCTTATTGTGGTTGAAGGTTTTCATGCTCTTCTCCTTGAAGCAGAAAAAAAAGACGTCTTTAAGGGAGTGGTGATTGATGATAAAACTTCTATTTCTCACCTCCAGTTTGCTGATGAGACTGCTGTAATTTGTGAGGCCTCTATCAATTCCATCTTGGCCATCAAGTATGCCCTGAGATAGTTTGAAATTATGTCGGGCCTCAAAATAAATTTTAATAAAAGTGTACTAATCGGGATCAATGTGGATGAGACTTGGATCAGTATGGCTGCCTCTGCCTTAAACTGCAAAGCTGGGAAAACTCCCTTCATTTACTTGGGGCTCCCTTCATTCTTTTTGGAAGCCAATGATTGAAAAGTTCCGATCAAAATTGGCATCTTGGAAAGGAAAGCTTCTTTCAATCGGTGGTCACATCACTCTTCTCACGTCAGTACTTTCTGCTCTACCTCTATTCTACTTCTCTATCTTTAAAGTTCCAAAAGGCATCTTAAAAGAGCTCATTAGAATACAAAAGAACTTCTTATGGGGGAACTCAGATGAGTCTAAGAAGATTGCATGGGTAAACTGGGAAAGGGTATGTCTAGCAAAAAATAAGGGTGGCCTTGGCATCCCAAACCTTGCTATTAAAAATATTGCCCTTTTAGGAAAGTGGTGGGATAAGTTTTATGATGATGCTGAAAATGAGAAATTGTGGACGAAGATAACTATTAGCAAGTACTATAGTGGCACTTCAACTGTTTCAATCTCCAACACTACATCTTCAAAAATATCTGCAATTTGGAAGGATATTTTATCTATTAGCAGGGATTGTGAAAGAAATACCAAGTGCTTCTCTGAAGGTTTCTCTCGTCAGCTTGGTGATGGATATGGAACCAGATTTTGGAAAGATGCCTGGGTGGAAACTTCTCCACTAATGCTTGTTTTCCCTCGACTATTCAAGCTCACTCTTAGCGAGAACTTATTGGTGGCTGATCTAAAACCCACCAAGGGTGAGGGATGGATTCTCCAATGGCGCAGACCCCCTTTTGGAAGAGAATTAGATGAGCTTCAAATCTTGGAAGATATCCTGCAAAATGTCAACATCTCTGTAGGAAAATCAGATCAAATTATATGGAAGCACTGCCCTACTGGTTATACTACAAAAATGGCATATCTTTTTCTTGACATGTCTCCCCCTTGTCTAGATATATTCTACTGCAAGTTAATATGGAGTCATCTTATACCCACAAAAGTCAATGTCTTCTCTTGGCGTCTTCTATTAAATCGCCTTCCCACAAAGGACAATCTCATCCAACGTGGTATTGACTTAGCATCTAGATCTGGTTGTGTGCTATGTAACGGTTATTTAGAGGATGCAAATCATATTTTTGCCACATGCATTTACTCCCAAAGCATTTGGAGCGTCATCTGTTGTTGGTGGGGTTTTTCTCTTGTTTTTCTTGACAAGGCCCTCGATCTGCTTACTCAGCTTTGCTCACTGCCAGTCCCTCAAGATGTTAAAGATTGTTGGGTCCTCTCCATATTTACTACTGCTTGGGCCATCTGGTATTTTAGAAATGGAATTGCTTTCAATAAACTTGAATGGGATGAGGACAATTTAATCGAGCTAGTAAAGACCAAAACATTTGCTTGGATAAAAGGTAAATTGAAACCTGCTGCTTTTTGTTTTAGTGACTGGTGTCAATTCCCAAAATTATGTACTACTCATTTTTAATATGACACAACACTTATCCTAATGTAATGGGTGAGTATCCCTTGTACTCATAATTTATAATACATTTTTATTCATCAAAAAAAAATATTCATTTAATGTCACATTATAATTATAAATTTATAATCTTATATGATATTATTATTATAATATTGCTAATTTTTTAAAAACATGCCTAAAAGTTACTTTAAAAGTCAAATTTTGAATTTTAAAGCATGCTTAAATAAGGTTAAAACTATTTGATGCAAATCTTCAAATTTTAATTATTTTCTATAATAAATTGATGCAAATCTATTTGAAAATTTTAACTTCAAGGTTGAAAAATTGAAAAATGAAGTAAGAGAAAATAACTAGCTCCCCTAAATCAAAAAAGAATGCGCACAATCTTTTAAGCAACACCAAATAAGGGCCTGTTTGGTGTGGCTCTTAGGAGCTTTAGTTTCTGAATACTATTCATGTCTCATGAATTTAAATTTCTTTTTTAAAATTTTACACTTTTAAATATTTTTTTAACCTCAAAAAGCTCTTAAACACGGTAAAAACTCAAAAGTTTCAAATCCAAACTTCTCATAAACTCTCTTTTTACTTACTTTTCACTCACTCTTTCACCTTTCTAAAAGTTAAAACTCTATTTTTCCCTCCAATAAAAATTTAAATTTATCACTCATAACAGCACTCATAACAGTACTTAAAAAGCAAAAGTTCTCACAAGCCACACCAAACAGGCTCTAAGCCTCTGAAATGTGAGTCTTTTTAAAATAATACTATTGCGGCATTCAAGAAGAATTTTTTTTTTATTTTGAATGAATTATATAAGAAAAGATAGTCCTTCTCTTTTCTTAAATCTCTCTTCGTCTGACACAATATTTGAAATTGAAATTTTCAACTTGAAATATAAAGTTATTAATTATTAAATTATCCTATTGGAGTTATTCAATGAGATTTATGAAAACTAAATAACTGCTGGTAAGCGTTAAAAATACCGATAGAAAAAAAAGTAAGCATAAAAGTGTCAATTAAAAAAAAAAAAAAGGTAAACATAAAAGTACGAGTGCAGTTATGGTCACTAATAAAATTGTTAAATTGATTAAAATAGTGGAAGACATTATTAATATTATTTAATTTGAAATTTTAAAATAATTAATAATTAATAAAATAATTAATATTTATTATTTAATGAATTAAAATTAATTTATAACCAAAATTTTTTAATATTATAATTATTTATTAAAAAATTATAAATATCAATCAAATTATATACTAATTTAATGATCTTATCAATCATATTAGTGGCCACAACACTTCCCTAAATTGGCTTTATATGTTTGAAAAAAAAAAGAAAGTAAGTAGCTTTATCAAAGTTTTTTTGTTTTGGTTCAAAAAAGCTTTATAAAAGTCCAATTGGAGAGTGGAGACAACGGCTATACGGTGTAATAATTTTTTTTGAAAATTTGGCATGAAACAAGACATCACTTTCCAATTTGCTTAATTTATTCTCCATTGTATTAATTTCGAAGTTGAGTCAATCGTCAAGCACTGAATAGAAAATTACAGATGAAACCAGCCTCACGCGTTG